AAGAATTTCTGCAGTGGAACTGATAGTACCAGTAACTTTATGCGTCAACAAGCTTATCTCACATTCTGTTGCTTATCTCAACATTCCTTCGTGTTGCGTCTTGTTCAGTGTATTGATGACTCAAATACGATTAGTATAACACAAAAGAATGCAATTTAATATTTAGTAATCACTATAATTGATCATTCCTATGTTAGTCATTGAGTAGATTGGTACTGTAATAATCTACTAATAGCAGTAATATCAAAATTAGATAGTGTGTTTCATTGATGATTTAGATTAGGATTGTAGATAGGAACAAAGATAAATGGCACGTCGAATGTAATAATTTTAACCATGTTCAATATTTTTATGCCTTTAAGAATGATCTCCTGGAGGGCTAAGAAAATCCTAGGCTTGATTCCTCAAGCCAGGAATGAAACATATAACACCGTTCGAGAAAACTATGATGAGGTAAATACTTTATTTAACTTATTAATACTATACCTCTTGTATAAAATAAATGCAAGTTGATCAGAGTAGGTACATTAGTTAAGCATAGGTATAGTTATGACTTATTAGGCTTAGTTTTCCCAAGTTAGGCTTTTAATATTTAATTATACAGTTCAATTGATGATTTGGTTCATAATCAGCCATTTAAAGTCCCCGCTGCTGAGATACAGACCTTTTTATGGATGGTTAAGGTGGGTGACTTCACGCCCCGATTGGAATTGGAGGGCATTAACAACTGCATACGCAGCCGGCACCAAAGGTACTATATACCTCCCGTAGCACGAAGGGGTTTGAGATAGTAATTTTTTGGTCACCCATCTTATGACCAGCCCTTGCAATCGTTGCTTAAACGCAACAATCGCGTATTTTAACTTTTTGAGATAGTAATTTATTGGAAACCCATCTTGTGACCAGCCCTTGCGATCGTTGCTAAAACGCAACAATCGCGTATTTTAACTTGTTATTGTTACATTTAATTTGTAATTGTTGGGTATACCCTCTCTCAAAGAGAAGGCCTAAATCCCAGCAGTGGGATGTTAAAAGGCTTTAGATTTGAATTGATTTTGTAATTGTTGTGATTGTAATTTATAATTATTTTTTTTTTTAGAAAAGAATATTAACAATGCTATAAACATTACTAACCCTTAACCACTCGTGGTAAGCTTAAATTTGCTTGTGTTACGAGTGGTTCACGACAGTAGTCGAATGGCGGATTCAAACCCACGACCTTTTTGAGTTCGCGGTCAGCGCCCTGCCATTAGGCTACAGTCGCTTATTTAAAATTATATATAATTATTATATTAATTAAATGGCAATCAAGAGTATTGTCTTAAGAAATTATGATTAAAACCATTAAGACTTGTGTAGATTATTTATTTATTTTTCTTTCAGATAATAAACAGTTAGAAGCAGAAAACAAGGAAAATACGTCTCCAAAGCCCAATTCGGTCACAGAAGTAGAAATGACGGCTCCGATAGAATGATTGCTACAGACTGAAAAACAACCTGTTAAACTTGTATCTGACTATAGAAGCGATTCATCTTTTAGCGAAAATGAAAATATAGACGAAAAAAATGAGCCTGACACATGGTCGTAATACCTCTGATAATTTAACATCATCATTCATTAATAATTCTAAATGTTCACCGTCTAAAAGTACCAAGGTTTCGGTCGCTTCAAGATTGTCTTCATCTAGTTCCTCGACATCTAATTCGTCGTCATCGTGTCCTGCATCGTCTAGTTCATCGTCATCGAGCTTATCGTCCAGCAATAGTGTAACACATGAACAAGATTTATTCAGACAGGGTGTGAAGAAAATATACCATCTTGCTCCTATTTCTCAAATAATAGAGAGGGACGGCAAAGGGAGCGTAGAGGTAACAACAAAGCTAATTATAATATTTCTCCAATATAGACTGATCAAAGTGACGTTGATATCAGTGATGATGATCCTACTATAGATTTTAATACGATATTGGATAGGCCTGTCAGAAGAAAAAATTTTTTTGTTCGGGAACCAACTTCCAATTCCTCCGATTCTAACAATAGTATTTAAAAAAGCAGAGGCCGAAAGCAGTCAAGAAATATTAATAAATGGCACCAAATTAAATCAAAACGGCTGAGAAATACAAGAGAATCTTATGTTTCGATGTCAAAATTTCGTAAAAGGATTCCAGCACGCAATATAAAAGATGCTTGTACAGAAAAATGTAAATTAAAATTGTCAATAAATATAACTTCAGAAAGTAGATTCAAACTCTAGTAACTTTTGTGTTCTAGGTAACTTAGTTGCCCAGAGGGCTTATATTCGAACATGTATGGTAGATGTGAGTCCGAAATACAAATATACTAACGCTGAACATCCTAGGCGTCCTAACAAAGCCTTTTATTTTACTGTTAGTGACCAATGCATTAGGGTGTGTAAGACTTTTTTCAAAAATACACTGTCAATTTCGGAACGAATGGTCCACACTGTTCAATCTAAAATGAATGATGATTTCGCGATGAATGAGTTACGAGGTAAACACAATAACTATAAAAAGCTTAATCCAGACTACCTACTAGATGATATAAGAAAACATATTAATAGGATACCAAAAGTGGAATCATATTATGTAAGGTCCTCAACTTCAAAAGAGTAAATTGGTGGTGATAAAACAATAAAAGATTTACATACTGATTTTGTTTCACAGCAAATTCAGTTCAGCAAGAACACATGTAATTATATGGCATTTTATAAATTTTTCACAAATGAATTTAACTTATGGTTCGACCAGCCAAAGAAAGATCAGTGTGATCTATGTGTTTCGTACAATAATTCAAATAATGAACAAAAAAAAGATTTGGAATACTAATATTAGAAGTATTTAGAGGAGAAGACTTTAAGTCGTCGAGACAAACAAGCTAATCGTCAAAACGTTACAAAAGATAACAAAGTCGCAGTTTACGATTTAGAAGCTGTATTACAATGTCCACGTGGCGACACATCAGCTTTCTATTATAAGTTCAAGTTAAATAGTTACAATTTGACTATGACAGAATTATTAATCGGAGAAAAGAAAGCTTACGAAAATGTACACTGTTACTTTTTGACTGAGGTTGATGCCAAACGAGGTGCAAATGAAATAGGGTCATGTGTATGGGAATATTTAAAAAATGTGTGTGCGGAAGATACAGAACCGAAACAGATTACATTTTACTCAGATAACTGTTGTGGGCAGAACAAAAATAAATACATAGCAACCTTATACTTATACGCTGTAACTCATTTAAATATAACCAGCATAACACATAAGTTTTTATAAGGGGTCACCTCAAAGCGAAGTGGATAGCGTTTGCTGTGAACGCTATAAATAGAAAGAGAAGTTTAGAAAACCTAAAATCCGGTCTAATTAACAGTCCAGATCAATATGTCACACTAATAAAAAATGCAAAAAAGCAACCCAATTAACGTGCATGTATTAACATTCGACTCATTTTTGGACTTTAAGGCCCTTCAAGAAGAATGGGGATATAATTGTAATATTGACAGAGACGGAAGTACTATAAACTGGAATGATATAGAGGTTTTAAGAATGGTGAAATCAGAACCCCTCAGATTTTATTGTAAAACTTCATATAACGATAACACTTTTAAACAAGTTGACGTTAGAAATAAAAGAAAGAAAATGATCAATATATCCGAAATTTCTTTAAATCAAGCATATAGATAAAAACAAAAACTGAGTGGTAATAAAAAAGATTTGAATGAGTTGGTAACGAAGAAGTTGATTCCTTCCGTTTATGCCAATTTTTATAATTCAATAATTTAATTATGATTCCATTTCTCATTTTTTTTTGCTATAATTTGATTAAATCATTAAAATATTGATTAGGTAGACGATAGTGATTGTAACATTTGTAAAAAATAATAACAATTATAATTTAGAAATTTAAAATTTACTTTTGATAAAAATATGTTTTAGTTAAGAATAATTTTCGTTTTGATTGTGTTTGCCTATGTTATGCCTGTGATATTAATTTCTTTTGATAAGAGGTACAAAAGACTGGTTATTTCATTCGTAAGTAGAAGTTTTTATTTTTGTTAAAGAATTTAATTTTTTGTTATTTTTGTAGTCACACTCAAGACTGATTGTTGGTTAATTTTTGTTTAAATTTATAATTATAAAAATCAGATTGTTCAATTCATTATTTTGTTAAAAAAACAAGTTTATTCTTAGTTTTTATTTTCTTTAAAAATGATGAGTTCAATAATCTCATTTCAAATTTCTTTGGTACCGAATTTGTCAAATTTTGTCTAAACCCATTACTTACACTTTTCAATTAAAAAGAAGTTTTACGGCTTGCTACACTTTTCTTAGTTTATTTTTTGCATAAAGTGAATTAATTCAGAAGTTTTTTTGGCCTCAAAATTATTTAACTTGTATATTTTTGAACAAAATTTTGGTATTGTCATTAAAATCTCTATAGTCCAATATATAAATAGCGATAGCTAAAGTAGTCAATAGCATAATACAATTTTTTTAATTTTTAATCAAAGGTGACAAGGAGGAAGTGGTAAACTTTAAACGCCATTTCCCACAAATTGATATTTTTGAGTTCATGTTTTTATTTTTAAGCAAGCGAAGTGATTACATTATTTCGATGAAGACTACAATGAATATTATATATATGAAACAATATTATATTGGATAGTCAAAACAAGTCTGTTGACTGAAAGTCAAAGTCAAAAGACACCTTGGTTTGACCAGCGATAATAATTTTACACTAGAGTCAGCGTTTTCTATTAAATAATATTTAGAATAAACAATTCCATAGAATAAACAGGTTGTTATGATATTACAGCTACTGCCAGACTACATTATTATCCATACAATTATTTACAATGACTTAAAAAAATACACGAAGATAGAATTAAATCTGTGTTGTAGTGATGGTCTGTTTAATTTGGAAAACAAAATCAACAGGTTTTTTTTTTCAAATTTAATTTAAGTCGTACTAAATATCCTTAACAAACTTTCTCTTTTAATGTACCCCACAGAAGTGCGTTAACGCGCCATTGACCGTAGTAAATGAAATAAAGCATTATGGCAGGAACTATGAATAACATTGGGAAGTATATGGACCCATAACAAATTTTTAATAAGGGATAAGGCCATAAGCCACAGCGGGCGAACGTTGAGAATAATCTGAAAAAAAAAGACATCTCTAGGTAAATAAGCAATTCATAATAAACATACAGCAACACGTGCTTAAGCAGGGGTGAATCTAGAAATTTTTTTCTGAACGGAACATCCAGGCTAGTTAGGCCAGTATGTATAATATTGTGTCGACAAATAGCTACTAGATGCCACCAGCAAGAGCGGATCAAGAACTTTTTCTAGAATTGGCACCTAGAACAATGCAGGCCAGTAATGAAAAATAATGTCACAAGAATAATAAGAATAAATATTTATGTATTGTAATATGTTTTTATTTTTATATTTATTGCATGATAAACATAAAAATTCATCAATCAGAAAAACTGATATACGCAACCCGGATACCCTTTAAACTGGAAACGAGGCAGTCCTCGGGGGTGGCAACGCATTTGCATTTTGATTCTTAGTCGAGGTTGCGGTCCTCACTTCTTTTTTAAAGGGCTTTGAAGCAGGGATGAGTCAATTCACTAGTAGATTTCACGTGTCTTTAAAATACTAAAAATTTTTTGGACATGCTGGTTTCCTTACAATGTTTTTCTTTACCGCCGTGCACAGCGCTTAAAATTGCAATTGACAATGTCATTGGTGTTGATGGAGATCGAATCCGGGTTGCTCGCATACTGTGTAATTTACAGCGAGCGTGTCAGGTATACTTTAAATCCTATATTTACACTAGCTTTTTTGCTTTTTAAACTAGAGCATAACAAATGGTGCGATGTACTCTACTGCTTGGCGGTTGAAAAAGCGCCCAAGAATTCGTTCTTGGGTGCTTTATAAGCCTTTGCTTGCTTAGGCAATTTGCATTTTTAAATTACTGAAATAATAATGGTTATACTCACACATATAAATAAGTTATGTAACATCCGTAAGTAGCAGCTAAATTCCACTTATGCGATTTAGGTTCAGTTTTGGGTAGGAAAACGAATTCCCAGAGAACTATAGGGAGAATAGCCGTATGCATTATATGGTTGGATTCTTGCCTCACAACTTTGTCAATAAATGCCGGAAATACCAATTCCCTGTCATATATATAAATTGTCCAAAATAAGATAAATATTATCTGGAAACGCATAATACTATAAGTTATTATGTAATGTGAAGTATCATCACCCTATAAGTATTCTACTGCTAGGTACATTTCTCCCATTTTCAAGTAATAAAGATAATGTTCGCGCCTGATAGTGGATTGTCTTATCTCGAGAGGTGTGGAGAGAGGTTTGGCGGGGCGAGGGGACTTAGCGGCTGGCTGCATCGTGCGCGCAGTCAGTCGCGCCCTGTTTGCATCGAGCCGAGTGAGAAGAAGGTCGGCGACGGCGTAAGCCGCTGGCGCGGCGTGCGCGTCGGTGCGCCGACGTTCTCGGGCGCCGGCGTTCCCCGTTTTAGCTCGTGAGAGTAATATAGAGGACGGCTAGGAATTTTTATTGATTAAGGGACCTTTATGCAGTTAATTGAATCGACGTGGTGTTCGTTTGTGCTACGTTGGAATGTGACATTGAACTTTGATCCACTGTCCTTGAGTTGTACCGCGTATCCCTAATTAACGTCGATGGACTTGATTGTTTGAACTTAAAGACAATTAATTGGACAATAAATAATAAGTGATAAACGAACATAGTAGTTATAAATATAGTTTCATATAGTTTCCATATAGTTTCCTAGAAGCTGAGGTGTTCTGTGGCTGCCTGCCCCTTAGATGGATCCCATATTTGAAGAGAGGCGACGCCTTTGGATCTGCTGTTCTGCAACCAGCGGGGATGTCACGTTACACATTGAACACGTACTAAACACAACTTCCACACACATCTACTATTTCACCTGAATCTTCCTATGGTTAACCCTACTTCGACGGTAAAAGGTAAGTTTTGTTTGGTTCTTTGTTAGCCGCTATAGCTTAATATTTCACAGGTCTCTCCTCTTGTCTACTCATCGAGCGGAATTCGTGATGGGCCCGAGTTCCGATCGGCTATTGTCAGGGTAGCCTGCGGCAGTAACAGATAATCTTCAAAGAAATGAGAGGAAGCCTGTGCCCAGGAGTGGGAAGTATATAGGCTGTAACTTTAACTTCGCGGGGCTTTTTTAGATTTTTTATTGGAGTAAAAGTGACTACCACGAACAAGAATGTACATTTACCTTCTGCAACAGACCTGTGGTAGTGTGGCAGAAGATAGGCAGCAGCATCTTTTTGATAACAGCAAAATAAAAAATTAAAACTGCGGTTGCCAACCTAACCTTGTTGGGTTAGCACTAATTTCAAGTTGTTGACGAGTATGTTTACATGGGAAAAATAGTTCAACTAGGTAAATCGAACTTCGACGGAGTGATTAATCGATTCAACTTGGCTGAGCGGCGTTCGGGACATATCTTCTCGTTAAGTATACCTCAAAACTAGTTAACAAGATTGTACAATCAGTGCGTGTTGCCAGTGATGTCTTATGGAATTGAGACGTGGTCCTTCACTGCTTGTGTGACCTGGAGCTTCGTGAGGAAGCGCAAGGTTGCTCAGTGATATATGGAGAAGGAAATGCTTGGTGTTTCTCAGCGAGATAAACTTAGAAATGAGGATATCCGCGGAAGAACCATAGTGACAGACATAGCGCAACGAACTGAAGTGGCAATGAGGCGGCTATATTGCTCTATGAACCGACAACCGACGGGAAAGCAAGGTACTGGAGTGGTAGCCCCGTACCGGTAGGCGAAGTGTAGGGCGGCTCCTTACAAGATGGAGTTACGACCTGCTAAGATATGTTTGTAGTCGATGGATGCAGGTGGCTCAGACCGTGTTTTATGGAATTCTTTGGGGGCGGCCTATATTCAGCACTAGAATTGTAAAGGGCTATAATGATGATGATGATGAAAAGTGACAACTTTAAAAAGCTCTAATTATTGTAAAACACATACGAAATAGATACTCACAAAAGAGAGTGGTAAAATGATACTAGTGAATATGAATTCACGATAAAATTTTAGGTTTTTTGTGAGAGTCGTTTCCTTAATCTTAAGCGATGTTGGTAAATCACATAGGATTCCTAGAAATGAGTATATTATTTGAAAAACCTGAAACAACACATTTAATACATTTAAAAACTTATTTTAGAAAAGGAATGTTTGGGAGATGAATGAAAAACACTCGCCTCCTTCAAATGTTGTTAAAAAGGTAATGGATCTCCATTTTAAGGTAATTATAGTCAGTAATGGAGCTGTTGACAAAAGGCGAATTGTTACGCATATTAATTAAAATACTTTTTATAAGTTGGCAAAGTGAAAGTTTTCTATAGAAATTGTATAAGAATATAAATAAAAGACGTAATAATTTTATAGGCTGAAATAAACGTAATATATTTTTGTATAATAAAACTCTATGCAAAGTGTATCCGGCTCGAAAGACCAAAATATGTACGAACTAAAAGCCCTAAACTAAGCTATAACATTTATACAATAGTTAAAGTGCTGAATACATCTGTAGGGTTGCAACGTACAATCTTATTACACTAAAAAGGAAAAACAGAAAAGGATTTTTTTAAATGTTATCCAATAACCTATATTATGTATGTAGCGATACTTTTTAAATTAAAACATTTTTTTCTATGACAATTACCGAAAAGATTATTGCCTTAGTTTTGTAGACAATCGAATTTACAGTCAACCTGATGGTAAGTGATTACTGCAGTATATGGACATTTGCAGCCAAATTCAAATAAAGAAGGCTAAAATGTGTTGTCATCTTAGACGACTAAGATGGAATGCTTAATAGCTATCGTACAGTCTCTCTATAACCTTTAGGTCGGAATGTATCAGTGTTAACACTACTATTTGGCGACACTGATATTATAAGATGATAGTACCTTCCAAGTCAGATTACTTAAGCAAAAAACGACTAGCTCTATCACCTTTCATTAAAAACACTGAACTAGAATTTCACACATTGATGATGGAAAGTAGCATAACCAGAGTAAGTATTTACTTACCCGCTTGCATAGCGCGGTGAGGTTAAAATATTAAGGAGCAACTCATCCCAGCTGAAGCAATTTGGGAGATACCACAGTATTCAAAAAAATGTGTGTATACTATTTTATGATACTTACATCGATTTACATGAGCTTAAAGCTTTCGCACTACTGGTTTCTCCAGCGTAGTAAAGGCGAATTATCCGATGTAATATTTATATACAGGGTTAATTTTTTAAAGATTATCCAAATTTTGAACTAAAGTTTAAATACATAAATAATGATATACCGTTATTGCAGTTTTTGAAAATACGAGTAAATAAGGCAATAACGTTTTTGCCCACCGATCGACCCTTACGAATGTGTCCGTGCGCAGAAAAATCAGTTAAAGTAATGCATTACCACGCATTTCGAATTTAAAAGATAAAAAAGACAGAATGATTGAGAGGTTTTTAAATTAATTTTTTGGCACCATTTGTTTATATTACACATTGTCAATCTTCTCTGCAAATTTGGCCGGTTATTGCAAAAAAAACTTTTGGTAAATCCAAACGTGCATACCTGAAACGCTTATGTTATACGTCAATTTTTTAAAGTATTTTAAATACACACAAGTTTTCACAAATAACCTTAATACTATTACTTCTAATTTTCCGATTATGTCAAGTCAATAAAAAAAGTTTGATAAATCCTAAAGTGCACGACTCATAACGCTCATATGATCGTGAAAAATGTAAAAACATAATTCTCAATCAACAACAGAAAATATTCTTTTTAATTTTACTAATTATGTAATTATTATTGAGATTAAATTCTTTTATTAATCTTAAATGAAAAAAAAACAACTTTTAACAGAATTATCTTAAAACGATCAGAAATCAACTTTAATATTATTTTAATTTTTAGCTATTTGTACTCAGGCATTATCGTAAAAACTAGTCTTTTTTACCTGCATTTTTTCTCATCAACTTTATTTCGTTTTCAAAAAGTTTTTCATCTAGTCATAACCAGTATTTTAATTTAGCATTCACCAAAGTACACCTTCAGGTAAGATCTTATCATATCTAACAAAACGAAGCCAAACTCGGCATACCTTCCTTCTTCTTTTCGAGGAGCACCAGTAGGAGATACCGAAGAACACCTTCAGGCCACTCCATAAAGTCCAAGACGTATAAGTATATTTATATATAAACCCTACGTAATTTTAGCGAAATAATATATTGTAACGAAAATCTTTGATTATAAAAATAATAATGATATCCCATCTTGGTTAAGTATGCACCAAGTTTGGTTTTTAGAATATTTTGTATTTCTACAGCGATCGATATTTTTCATCACGAGCCGCTGTAAACAAACGATACAGTAACCCACTCACGATACGGTGTGAATATGAAAGACCTCAGTAACTTGCTTTTACGTTGATGCTAGCACCATCTCGTAGTCATTAAAGCACTATTTTCCCTACTATTATTACAAATTTTACTCAAAAGATAACGCCACGTAGTATTTCAAAGTTTTGAAATACTGCGTTATATGTATAACATAACTGATTACATCATGATTATATAAGAGAAACCGACTATAAAGTAATAAATATTAAATAAAACGATTGCTTAATAGTTAGTTACTAATTATAAACATTTTATTTTATTTATTAAAACGTACGAAATAATACCGAACCAATTATGATTTCTTATATTTACTCGAACACTACACATTGAAATAATACTAGTTTTTACGGAATTTATCGCGTATATTTAACTTTTTAAATACCCGACGTTTCGAACGCTTTACAGCACTCATGGTCACGGGCGGGACTGAGATGTTCAACGTCCAGATGTCATAGTTAACCGCGGTTACTATAGATTAAAATTTAACTTTTGTTCCGATCTACACAGTATGAACTTATGGTATCTTGAAGTCTTGCAGTTGTATGCTTGGGTTGGGATTTAATTTTATTTATTATAAGATCCCAAGCAGATGGTAGCACCCAGCCATCTTCTCTATTGAAATTAGGATGTTTTTTGATTTCAATAGCCTCGCGAATCATCCTTGGAAGGAATCGGTGTTCTTTAGCGAGGATTTGTGGTCTATCAATTCTGATATAGTGACGGGGGCGATCCTGTACGTGTTCACGGACTGCAGACTTCCCGGAGCGTCGAGTCTTCACATCAGCTATATGTTCTTTAACGCGGGTTTTAATTGATCTTTTAGTTTGTCCTATGTAGGAGAGACCACATTCACAATCAAGCTTGTACACTCCTGCATCTTGCAGAGGGACATTACACTTGACTGATGGTAAAAACTGACCAATCTTCTTCAGCGGCTTGAAGTATGTTTTGATGAAAGCGCGCTTAGGATGTAGCCAATCTTGTCAGTGACTCCTCTAACATATGGCAGTACAGCGGGTACACGCTCGACCGTGGCCGGCTTCACTCGTTCACTGTCACGTAGGCGCGGGACCCGAAGCTTGTTGTCATGCAAAACTTGCTTGACATGGTGGAGCTCCGCAGCCAGGTGTTTATTATCACAGATCCCTCGTGCTCTCTGAAACAAAGATTTACCCACGGTAGCTAACTGTGAAGGATGGTGGTGAGAATCACTGTTTAAATATCTATCTGTATGGGTCTTTTTTCTATACACAGTATGGCTCAAGGTGTTATCAGGATTCCGAATTACTAACACATCTAGAAAAGCTAAGGAATTGTTTGCCTCTAACTCCATTGTGAACTGAAGTTTAGAATTTATGGAGTTAAGATGGTCTAAAAATGCAGTTACTTTATCTAAAGGTAAAATTGTGAAAGTGTCGTCTACGTACCGCTTGTAGAATCTTGCGTTTATGGGAAAATTAAGCAGGGCTTTCTCCTCAAAGTCTTCCATGAATATGTCGGCGACAATGGGAGATACAGGTGAGCCCATCGCCACACCATCTACTTGCTTGTAGAACTCCCCCTTCCACAATAGGTAGCCAGATGTAAGGCAGTGTCTGAGTAATACTGCATATTCTACGGGCATGTTGTTTTCTTCCAGCCTTCTAGTTACAATTGAGATGCAGTCTTCAACAGGTAAGCATGTAAACAATGACTGCACATCAAAATTGACCATAGTTTCATTGTCTGCCAGATGTAGGTCTTTAATCTCGCTGACAAAATGGTAGGTATCCTTTATGTGTGCTCTTGTATGTCCTCTTAGCGGTGAGAGTATTTTCGCTAAGTATTGAGCCAATCTGTAAGTTACTTATAAAAAGGTTAAAAACGACCCAACAAATAGCACACTAAAAACAACTAGTGACCGCATAAAGAAACACTCCGAAAAATTAAATCTGGACGTAAAATGGATAATACCTACGTGCGCCAAATAACCAAAATTGTGTGAGTTACCAAAAATACACAAGCCCAATGCTCCATTACGTCCCATAGTGAGCCAAATCGATTCACCAACTTACAAATTGGCTCAACACTTAGCGAAAATACTCTCACCGCTCAGAGGACATACAAGAGCATACATAAAGGATTCCTACCATTTTGTCAGCGAGATTAAAGACCTACATCTGGCAGACAATGAAACTATGGTCAGTTTTGATGTGCAGTCATTGTTTACATGCTTCCTGTTGAAGACTGCATCTCAATTGTAACTAGAAGGCTGGAAGAAAACAATATGCCCGTAGAATATGCAGTATTACTCAGACACTGCCTTACATCTGGCTACCTATTGTGGAAGGAGGAGTTCTACAAGCAAGTAGATGGTGTGGCGTGGGCTCACCTGTATCTCCCATTGTCGCCGACACATTCATGGAAGACTTTGAGGAGAAAGCCCTGCTTATTTTTCCCATAAATCCAAGATTCTACAAGCGGTACGTAGACGACACTTTCACAATTCTACCTTTAGATAAAGTAACTGCAGTTTTAGACCATCTTAACTCTATAAATTCTAAAATTCAGTTCACAATGGAGTTAGAGGCAAACAATTCCTTAGCTTTTCTAGATGTGTTAGTAATTCGGAATCCTGATAACACCTTGAGCCATACTGTGTATAGAAAAAAGACCCATACAGATAGATATTTAAACGGTGATTCTCACCACCATCCTTCACAGTTAGCTACCGTGGGTA